CTCCTCACTGTATGAATGAATCTGTATTTCGACATTTTTGAGTTTGTAGTAATTCATTTATTTGTGGTGACAGGTAATGGTATTGATTGGAGAGACCGGTTCAGGGAAGAGCACTCAGTTAGTTCAGTTCCTTGCTGATTCCGGAGTTGCTGCTGGTGAATCTATCGTTTGTACACAGCCAAGGAAAATCGCTGCGTTGACACTGGCTGATCGGGTCAAAGATGAAAGCAATGGTTGTTACGAGGAGGACTCTGTCCGCTGCACTCCAGCTTTTTCTTCTACCGAGCAGATTAGTTCCAAAGTTGTTTTCATGACTGATAATTGTCTGCTTCAACACTACATAAAGGATAGGAGCTTGTCTGGTGTTTCATGTGTTATTATTGACGAAGCTCATGAGAGAAGCTTGAACACGGACCTTCTTCTGGCGTTGCTGAAAGATCTGATGTGCAGAAGAATCGACTTAAGGCTTGTCATCATGTCTGCCACGGCTGATGCTTACCAGCTCTCAGACTATTTCTTTGGATGTGGAATTCTTTGTGTCACTGGAAGGAACTTTCCGGTGGAGATTATATATGCCCCTAGTGACGCGGAAGGGACTTCTGTTGTTGGCCGCATTGCTCCATATGCTGATAATGTTGTTAAGAAGGCAGTGGAAGTGCATAAAACAGAGAAAGAAGGAACCATCCTTGCTTTCTTGACTTCTCAAGCAGAGGTTGAATGGGCATGCGAAAGGTTTATAGCTCCATCTGCAGTTGCTTTACCTTTGCATGGAAAGCTTTCCTTCGAGGAGCAATTTAGGGTGTTCCAGAACCATCCTGGGAAGCGAAAAGTGATCTTTGCCACAAATATTGCAGAGACCTCTCTTACTATTCCTGGTGTTAAGTACGTAATTGATTCCGGGATGGCGAAAGAGAGTAAATATGAACCTAGAACGGGTATGAGCATCCTCAAGGTTTGCCAAGTCAGTCAAAGTTCAGCTCGACAACGTGCTGGTCGTGCTGGAAGGACAGAACCCGGACGATGTTACAGACTTTACTCAAAACATGATTTTGAGTCAATGAGTCTTAATCAGGAACCTGAAATTCGGAGGGTACATCTTGGTGTTGCACTTTTGAGGATTCTTGCTCTGGGTGTAGACAACATAGCGGATTTTGACTTTGTTGACGCGCCTGTCCCTGAAGCCATCGCAATGGCTGTCAGAAATCTTGTTCAGTTGGGTGCAGTCATTGAGAAGAATGGTGTTCTTGAATTAACACAGGAAGGGCATTGTTTAGTCAAGCTTGGTCTGGAGCCAAAGCTTGGAAAGTTAATTTTAGGCTGCTTCAGACGCAGAATGGGCAAAGAGGGGATTGTTCTTGCTGCTGTCATGGCTAATGCCAGTAGTATATTTTGCAGAGTTGGCAGCCTCGATGATAAGATGAAAGCTGATTGCCTAAAGGTATGATCCTGGCTCTTATTTTATATTTTTTCCAGAGAATGATTATTGTTTCCTACTATGTATCATTTGATTTACCAATACATGCGTAAATGAGTTCATATATTCTCTGCTTTGTAAATGATTTGTTCGATCTTTTTTGAAGATATACTCTGAAGTTTTCCACTTTTGTCATATTCAAGGTGCAATTCTGCAACCCTAATGGAGACCTATTCACTCTTCTATCGGTGTACAAAGAATGGGCATCTCTGCCTCGAGAAAGAAGAAATAAATGGTGCTGGGAAAATAGCCTAAATGCCAAATCAATGAGGAGATGTGAAGAGACAGTCAAGGAGTTGGAGATATGCATCGAGAGGGAACTTTCTCTTGTCAGTCCAAGTTACTGGGTTTGGAATCCAACCGACCGTGACAAGAAACACGAGAACAGTTTGAAAATGGTTATACTTGCATCTCTCGCTGAGAACGTGGCGATGTACACTGGCTATGATCAGCTTGGGTATGAAGTGGCATTGACTGGTCAACAAGTTCAGTTGCATCCGTCCTGTTCATTACTGTCATTTGGACAGAAGCCAAACTGGGTTGTTTTCGGTGAGCTTCTTTCAGTTGCCGACCAGTACTTGGTATGTGTAACTGCGTTTGATTTTGAGGCTTTATCTATGCTTGATCCACCTCCACCTTTTGATGCATCTCATATGGATGCGTGGAGGCTCCGAGTGGAAAAGGTGGTTGGTTGTAGCAGCACTCTGCTAAAAAGATTCTGTGGGAAGTCTAACCATGGTCTGCTTTCGATTGTTTCTCGTGCTAGGTCGCTTTGTGTGGATGAAAGGATTAATATTCAAGTTGATATCGATCAGAATGAGATTCTATTGTATGCGCCTCCCCACGATATGGACAAAGTCTCGGCCCTAGTGAGCGATGCATTGGAATGTGAAAAGAAGTGGATGCGTAATGAATGTTTGGAGAAGTATATACATAATGGTCGGGGGCAAGTACCTATGGCACTGTTTGGATCTGGTGCTCAGATAAAGCATCTTGAAGTTGATCAGAGATTCTTGACAGTTGATGTATTTTATTATGGCGACAGTTTTGTTGATGACAGAGAGCTTCTGAGGTTCCTGGAGAAGAAGATTGATGGGTGTATCTGCTCTATTCATAAGTTTGCTGGGAACAAGCAAGACTGTGATGAGAAGGATAAGTGGGGTAGGATAACCCTTCTCACTCCGGAAATTGCTATGAAGGCAACAGAAATTCAGAGATTTGATTTCAACGGATCGGTGGTTAAACTGTTTCCATCTCTGGCAAATGGTGGGGGAATGTTCAAGATGCCTTCTTTCCCTTCTGTTACAGCTATGATCCGTTGGCCGCAAAGGGAAAGCACTGGTAGAGGTGTTCTTAAGTGCCCAGCCGGTGATGTTCACAGTGTATTTGCTGGGATCTCTGATATTGTGATAGGAACAAGATATGCTCGCTTTGAGACAGATCATAGGTACAGTGATTCAATCTTGATTACTAATATTGACTCAGGTCTTTTGGAAGCAGACGTTTTAGATGCTTTGGAGTTCTATACGGGGAGAACAGATTTGGAATTTTTCCTACTCAGAAGAAAGAGTGTGCGGTGTCCACCTCCTACTGTTTGTGCAGATATGCTGCATAAGAGAATATTTGCGTGCATGTCATCGAGCAGTCCAGAGCCAAACTGTGTCCAAGTCAAAGTTTTTGAACCAAAAGAATCTGATTATTTCATGCGAGCGTTGATAACTTTTGATGGGAGATTACATTTGGAAGCTGCGAAAGCGTTGCAGGAGTTAGATGGAGAGGTGCTGCCTGGATGCCTTTCATGGCAGCAGATCAAATGCGAGCAGAAGTTCCAGAGTTCCATAATTTGTCCTGCTTCTGTCTACAACATAGTCAAAAGACAATTGAATGTCAAGTTAGCAAGCTTCGAGAGACAAAGAGGTAAATTCCAAAACCACATCTTAGATGTTTGGTCTTTAGTTTTTATTACCTTTCTACCACCTAATAACCTTACAGTATCTGACAACTTCTGAGCATAGGTTTGATATTTCTCTTATATATATTTGTAGGCGGTACATGGCATCTGGAGCCAACTCACAGTGGTGCTTACCGTGTAAGAATATCTGCTTATGCAACAAAACCCATCTCGGAGATGAGGAGATCTCTTGAAGAACTCATAAGAGGAAGACCCATAAACCATCCAGGCTTAACCCCAAGAGTCTTGCATCATCTTTCTTCCAGAGATGGTGTTATTCTGATGCGGAAGATCCAACATGAGACTGAAACTTACATTATCTTAGACAGGCACAATCTCACAGTACGCATTTGTGGATCAGAAGAAAAAATTGCTGCGGCTGAACAAGAGCTGGTTCGGTCACTTCTGGCTTATCACGAGAGGCAGCAACTTGAAATCCGCCTGCGAGGTCCTCAACTCCGTCCTGACCTCATGAAGGAAGTTGTGAACCGGTTTGGTCCAGAGCTCCAAGGTATCAAAGAAAAGGTAAATGGTGTGGATCTCAAGCTCAACACCCGGTACCATGTTATTCAGGTTCATGGGAGCGTAGAAATGAGGCAGGAAGTAGAAAAGATAGTCTATGAACTTGCGCGGGAAGGTAGTGAACCGGGCGGAAAACCAGATGACATTGAAGTTGAATGCCCTATTTGCCTGTGTGAGGTTGATGATGGCTACGCTCTTGAAGGATGTTCACACCTCTTCTGCAAAGCTTGTTTGTTGGAACAACTCGAGGTATCGATGAGAAACTTTGACGCATTTCCCATACTTTGTTCTCACACGGACTGTGGAGCTCCAATAGTACTCGCTGATATGAGAGCCCTCTTGTCACAAGAGAAGCTAGACGAACTCTTTAGAGCATCCCTGTCCTCTTTTGTAACAACTAGTGATGGGAACTTCCGGTTTTGCTCCACACCTGATTGCCCTTCCGTCTACCGAGTAGCTGGTCCTCGAGAGTCAGGAGAGCCATTCATCTGTGGAGCTTGTAACTCAGAGACATGCAGAAGGTGCCACCTGGAGTATCACCCATATATCACTTGTGAAAGATACAAACTGTTCAAAGAAGATCCGGACATGTCGTTGAAGGACTGGGCAAAGGGAAAGAACGTGAAGGAGTGTCCTTTTTGCAAGTCAACGATAGAGAAATCTGAAGGGTGTAACCATTTACTGTGCCGGTGTGGGAAGCATATTTGCTGGGTATGCTTAGATTTCTTCACTCATCAAGAACCTTGTTATGAGCATATGAGAGCAGTCCATGGTGGAATAGGCATCTTTGATGAGCTTGGCATCCCCATGCTTTGAAGTTTGAAAGTGACTTCCTCAATGTATAACAATAGTCTTTAACTTAAAAGTCTTTGTAATCTATATTCTGAAACAACTGGTTTGGTTGATATGTACATATGTTGAGATAGTGTGGTTCATACTAGTATATCTTTAACCAATTTTAACCGACCTTAAAAGCGAAGAGTTATACCGGTTAAGAACAAACAAGGAACCAAGAACAAACAAATGCCATCTCTATCTGGTTGTGTTATATAAACAATAAACTTGATGATATTAATCAACGAAGACAAAACGGCTGAGTGATTAACGAGTAGAGACGCATAATAGCAAAGACGTAGCAAAGACGTAGCAAAGATAATTGGGTAAACATAAAGTTATATTAAACAAGAGAACATTTTCGTTGGGGTAATTCGTCGAACACCTTCAGGACTAACATAACAAAGGCCAAAAAATAACTTAAAAATGCCAGTTAACGAACTAGGCAAAGCTAGATATGCCTTCAAGCTCTTTCACCACGGATCCTCCTAGCGAGCTGAATATCTTTGGGCATGATCGTAACTCTCTTGGCGTGAATCGCGCAGAGATTGGTGTCTTCGAACAACCCAACAAGGTAAGCCTCTGCAGCTTCTTGTAACGCTGCGACAGCGCTGCTCTGAAACCTCAGATCGGTTTTGAAATCCTGAGCAATCTCACGGACAAGACGCTGGAAAGGAAGCTTACGGATTAAAAGCTCAGTGCTTTTCTGGTACTTCCTGATCTCTCTTAATGCAACCGTTCCGGGACGGAATCTGTGTGGCTTCTTCACTCCACCGGTGGCTGGTGCGGATTTTCTGGCGGCTTTGGTCGCGAGTTGCTTCCTTGGGGCTTTGCCTCCGGTTGATTTCCTTGCGGTTTGCTTGGTACGAGCCATGTCGAGATCTAAATAACAGAACTTACTTCTTTATAGAATGTGAATACAAAATGTTGTCGTGAAGAGTAAAGAAGAAGATGGTTGGTTTTATAAAAGAAATTGGCGGTGAGATGAATAATCAAAGATTTGGAGGGAGTTTTTTTATTTTTGGAGGGAAGTAGATGTTCTTGTCCGTTGGATTAAATGTGATATCGGACGGTTGAGATTGTAAATATTTCGATCCGTGTGTTTCCTTATCAACCAATACAAATAGTCCACGTAAGCAATTCACCGATCCGCGTGAGATTACAATCATCTTTTCAGTACCGCGAGACATTTTGCGCTTATTTCCAAAAATTTATGAAAGTCTGGCGCCACTCGACTCTGAATTTATTTCAAAAAAGATTAGTAACTTGACGCAACTATTTAATTGATAATCTAATATTAGTGTAACGAACAATTTTGATTGACTACAAGTATCTAATCAAGAGGAAGTAAATCTTATACAAAAGGAAAATAAGTATCTCAGAGATTTTCGGTTACTGGATATGTTCTTAGTTCCAACTTGTAGCTTAAGTTATTCTCATCAGAAACGAACACAGTTGTTGATCAGCATTCAGCAACTTGAGCAGAGACACAACGTAACTTAATCAACATTTTGCAAATTATGGATTTAGACAGATTACTAATAGTTGAATACACATTTGAAGTAATTAAAAAAAACGAATAACTGAATTTCATGTGCTGTAGTTGTTTTTCTAACAAGAGAAGATCAAAAGATGAAATATAACAGTGGATTTGATATTCATTAAGAAATTTCATCGAACACGTTAACGACAACTCTAAACATAGACTACAACACTCGAAAAACATAACATAAAAACGATATACAGATCCGATAAAAGACCAAACAAGTACACTGCTGATCTGTCTCCCTACCCCACCCTTCTCTTCTTAAGCTCTCTCTCCCCTAATCCTCCTCGCGAGCTGAATATCTTTCGGCATAATCGTAACCCTCTTCGCGTGAATCGCACACAGATTCGTGTCTTCGAACAACCCAACGAGGTAAGCTTCAGCAGCCTCTTGTAACGCTGCGACAGCACTGCTCTGGAACCTCAGATCGGTTTTGAAATCCTGAGCGATCTCACGGACAAGACGCTGGAAAGGAAGCTTGCGGATCAGAAGCTCAGTGCTCTTCTGGTACTTCCTGATCTCACGAAGGGCGACGGTTCCGGGACGGAATCTGTGTGGCTTCTTCACTCCTCCGGTGGCTGGGGCGGATTTTCTGGCGGCTTTCGTTGCGAGCTGCTTCCTTGGAGCTTTGCCTCCGGTGGATTTTCTTGCGGTTTGCTTGGTACGTGCCATTTTGAGATTTTTGCTATGTGCTTTGGGAGAGAATGTGATTTTTGATGTGTAAAGAGAGAGGATGTGATGTGTTTTTTTTTATAGTGAAGCGAGAGATGATGTTATTTGGTTTGGATCCGTTGGATCTTTTGGATTATTAACGGTTGAGATTGTTTCGTTTATCTATCCGCGTCGATTGTTTTATAACCAATCAGAATGATCTGTGTATTCTTTGCTATCCGCGTCTTTTATTAATTAACCAATAAGAATGGCTTTTGATTATCTTATTGGACCATTGGATTTCAAGTCTTGTTGGGCCTCGCCCAGGAGTTAGTGTATAGACAAACTGAGATGATGAAACGTAAGTTGAACCAGAAAAGTAAGGCAGAGAGTAGGGGGGAAAGAGCAATGAGGATTTTGTTGTTTTTTTCTTGTGAATGTTATTTAAATATTTTATAAAATCTTATCGGTATGAAAAGTACAAAATTGTGATTCTTGTTTTATATTGGTAGAAACTGTGATTCATGTTATGTTATTTTTGTGTAATTCATGTAGGAAACAAATTGGGAATGTATGCTTATTTAGTTTGTAACTGATACAGTTTTCGAGATCACTGGCTAACCCCCTATGATTTTTTTCAAAACGTATATTCTTTGTCGATATATTTATTTAAATATTCATTAACCAAATCATAGTGTAAAATTGTTTAACAATCCTTTTAAAAATGTTTGTCGTTTCAAGAGTAAAACTTCGAAATCTACCAAATTCTTTGAGGTCTTGGACTAACTAACACCCTCTAAATTTTTGAAAATTCAAAACATGTATTTTTTATAGTATATTTATTTAAAGATCCGTTAACCAAATTATAGTGACGAAACTGTTTAACTATCATTTTGAAAATGTTTCTTCTGTCTTATGAGGAATATCTCAAAGCCACCAAATTTCTCGAAGTTGTGTGATAACCCTTATGAATTTTTCAAAATTTTTAAACATTTAATACTTGCTAGTAAACCTATTTAAAGACCCATTAACCAAATTATAATGTTGAAAATGCTTAACAATCATTGTGAAAATGTTTCGTTCTCTCCTGAAAATAACGTCAAAATCCACCAAATTTTTCATGGTCGTGGGCTAACCACTATGAATTTTTAAAAATTTCAAAACATGTATTCTTTGCTAGCATACTTATTTAAAGACCCATTAACCAAAATATAATGTTAAAACTATTTAACAATCATTTTGAAAATGTTCGTCATCTCCTAAGGATAACGTCAATATTCACTAAACTTTCGAGGTCGTGGTCTAACCCCTATGAATTTTTGAAATTTTCAAAAAATATACTCCTTGCTATTGTACTTATTTAAAGACTCATTAACCAAATTATAGTACTGAAATGCTTAATAATCGTTTTGAAAATGTTTCATCTTTGCCTAAGAATAATGTCAAAATTTACCAAATTCTTCAAGCTCGTGGACTAACCACTATGAATTTTTAAAAATTTCTAAACATGTATTATTTGCTAGTATACTTATTTAAGGACCCATTGGCCAAATTATAGTGTTGAATTTTCTTAACAATCATTTTGAAAATATTTCGTCGTCTCCTAAAGATAGCATCAAAATCCACCAAATTTGTTCAGGTCATGGGCTAACCCCTATGAATTTTTGAAAATTTAAAAATATGTATTTTGTGGTGGTATATTTATATAAGGACAAATTGACCAAATTATAGTGTTAAAACTTTTTAACAATCATTTTAAAAGTGTTTCCTCGTCTCTTGAGGATAATGTCAGTATTCACCAAATTTCCTAGGTTGTGAGCAAACCCTATGTATTTTTGAAATTTTCAAAAATGTACTCCTAGCTAGTATACTTCTTTAAAGACCTATAAACCAAATTATAGGGTTGAAACTGATTGACAATCGTTTTGAAAAAAAAATCGTCGTCTCCTAAGGATAATGTCAAAATCCACCAAATTTTTCGAGGTCATGGGGTTAAGCCCATGAATTTTTAAAATTTCAAAACATGTATTTCTTGCTGATATACTTATTTAAAGTCCAATTAACCAAATTATAGTGTTAAAAAATTTTAACAATAAAATGTCCGTTGTCTTCTAAGGATAAGGTCAATATTCACTAAATTTTCGAGGTCGTGGGCTAATCCCTATGAATTTTTGAAAATTTCAAAACATTTAGTCATTGCTAGTATACCTATTTAAAGGCTTATTAACCAAATTATAGTATTGAAAATGCTTAACAATTGTTTTGAAAATGTTTCATCTTTTCCAGAGAATAACGACAAAATCTACAAAAAATTTCAAGGTCGTGGGCTAACCACTATGAATTTTTTAAAATTTCAAAACATGTATTATTTGCTAGTATACTTATTTAAATACCCATTAACCAAATTATAGTGTTGAATTTGCTTAACAATCATTTTGAAAATGTTTCGTCGTCTCCTAAAGATAGCGTCAAAATCCACCAAATTTGTTCAGGTCATGGGCTAACCCTTATGAATTTTTGAAATTTTTTAAAAAATGTATTTTGTGGTGGTATATTTATTTAAGGACAAATTGATCAAATTATAGTGTTAAAATTTTTTAACAATCATTTTAAAAGTGTTTCCTCGTCTCTTGAGAATAATGTCAGTATTCACCAAATTTGCTAGGTCGTGGACAAACCCTATGTATTTTTGAAATTTTCAAAAATTTAATCCTTGATAGTATACTTTTTTAAAGACCCATAAACCAAAATATAGTGTTGCAACTGATTGACAATTATTTTGAGAAATTTTTGTCGTCTCCTAAGGATAATGTCAAAATCCACCAAAATTTTTGAAGTCATGGGTTAAGCCCTATGAATTTTTGAAAATTTCAAAACATGTATATCTTGCTGATATACTTATCTAAAGTCCAATTAACCAAATTATAGTGTTAAAACATTTTAACAATAAAATGTTCGTTGTCTCCTAAGGATAAGGTCAATATTCACTAAATTTTTGAGGTCGTGGGCTAATCCCTATGAATTTTTGCAAATTTCAAAACATTTATTCATTGCTAGTATACATATTTAAAGACTTATTAACCAAATTATAGTGTTAAAAATGCTTAACAACTATTTTGAAAATGTTTCATCTTTTCCAGAGAATAACGACAAAATCTACCAAATTTTTCAAGGTCGTGGGCTAACCACTATGAATTTTTTAAAATTTTAAAACATATATTATTTGCTAATATACTTATTTAGAGATCCATTAACCAAATTATAGTGTTGAATTTTCTTAACAATCATTTTCAAAATGTTTCGTCGTCTCCTAAAGATAGCGTCAAAATCCACCAAATTTGTTCAGGTCATGGGATAACCCTTATGAATTTTTGAAAATTAAAAAAAATATATTTTGTGGTGGTATATTTATTTAAAGACAAATTGACCAAATTATAGTGTTAAAACTTTTTAACAATCATTTTAAAAGTATTTCCTCGTCTCTTGAGGATAATGTCAGTATTCACCAAATTTCCTAGGTCGTGGACAAACCCTATGTATTTTTGAAATTTTCAAAAATGTACTCCTTGCTAGTATAATTTTTTAAAGACCCATAAACCAAATTATAGTGTTGAAACTGATTGACAATCGTTTTGAAAAATTTGATAATGTCAAAATCCACCAAAGTTTTCGAGGTCATGGGTTAAGCCCTATGAATTTTTGAAAATTTCAAAACATGTATTTCTTCCTGATATACTTATTTAAAGTCTAATTAACCAAATTATAGTGTTAAAAACATTTTAACAATAAAATGTTCGTTGTCTCCTAAGGATAATGTCAATATTCACTAAATTTTCGAGGTCGTGGGCTAATCCCTATGAATTTTTGAAAATTTCAAAACATTTATTAATTGCTAGTATACCTATTTAAAGACTTATTAACCAAATTATAGTGTTGAAAATGCTTAACAATTGTTTTGAAAATGTTTCATCTTTTCCAGAGAATAACGACAAAATCTACAAAAATTTTAAAGGTCGTGGGCTAACCACTATGAATTTTTTAAAATTTCAAAACATGTATTATTTGCTAGTATACTTATTTAAATACCCATTAACCAAATTATAATGTTGAATTTGCTTAACAATCGTTTTGAAAATGTTTCGTCGTCTCCTAAAGATAGCGTCAAAATCCACCAAATTTGTTCAGGTCATGGGCTAACCCTTATGAATTTTTGAAAATTTAAAAGAATGTATTTTGTGGTGGTATATTTATTTAATGAAAAATTGACCAAATTACAGTGTTAAAACTTTTTAACAATCATTTTAAAAGTGTTTCCTCATCTCTTGAGGATAATGTCAGTATTCACCAAATTTCCTAGGTCGTGGACAAACCCTATGTATTTTTGAAATTTCCAAAAATTTACTCCTTGATAGTATACTTCTTTAAAGACCCATAAACCAAAATATTGTGTTGAAACTGATTGACAATCATTTTGAAAAATTTGTCGTCACCAAATTTTTAAAGTCATGGACTAACCATTATGAATTTTTTTTAAAAAAATCAAAACATGTATTCTTTGCTACTTAAAGACCCATCAACCAAATTCTAGTGTTGACAATGATAAATAATTGTCTAGAAAATGTTTCGTCCTCTCATGAGAATAAACTCAAAATCCATTAAATTCTTAAAGTCGTGGACTAACATTATGAATTTCTAAAAAATTCATAAGATGTATTATTTGCTAGTATACTTATTTAAAGACCCATTAACCAAATTATAGTGTTGAAACTGCTTAACAATCGTTTTGAAAATGTTTTGTCATCTCGAGAGAAAAATGTCAAAATCCACTAATTTTTTCGAGATCGTTGGCTAACACCCTTTAAATTTTTGAATAATCAAAATATGTAATTTTTGCTAGTATACTTATTTAAAGACTCATTAACCAATTTATAATGTTAAAACTATTTAACAATCATTATGAAAATGTTTTGTGGTCTCTCTAGGATAACATCAATATTCACCAAATTATTGAGGTCGTGGGCAAACGCCTTGCTAGTATACTTATTTAAAGACTCATTAACCAAGTTTTAGTGTTGAAATTGATTAACAATTTTTTTTGGAAATGTGTTGTCGTCTCCAAAGGAGAACGTCAAAATTAACCAAATTTTTTGAGGTCATTGGCCCCCTATGAATTTCTGAAAACTTTAAAGCATGTATTCCTTGCTAGTATACTTATTTAAAGAATCTTTAACCAAATTATATTGTTGAAACTGCTTAACAATCGTTTTAAAAATGTTTCATCGTTTTCTAAGGATAACGTCAAAATCTACCAAATTTTTTGAGGTCGTGGACAAACCCCTAAGAATTTTTGAAAATTTTAAAACATGTATTCCTTGCTATTATACTTATTTAAATACCAAATAATAATATTGAAATTGTTTAACAATTATTTTGAAAATGTTTCATCGTTGCCTCAGAATAATGTCAAAATCCACCAAATTTTGAAGGTCGTGGGCTTACCCCCCTATAAATTTTTGATTTTTTTCAAAATGTACTCATTGACGGTATAATTATTTAAATACTCATTAACCAAATTATAATGTTAAAACTGATTAACAATTTTTTTGAATATGTTTCGTCGTGGACAACATAAAAATCCACCAATTTTTTTGAGGTCGTGGGCTAACACTCTCTGAATTTTTGAAAATTTTAAAACATGTATTCTTTCCTATTATAATTATTTAAAAACTCATTAACCAAATTATAGTGCTGAAAGTGCTTAACAACCATTTTAAATATGTTTCCTCGTCTTCTAAGGATAATGTGAAAATCCACCAAATTTTCTGAAGTCGTGGGCTTACCCCTATACATTTTTGAAATTTTCAAAACATTTTTTCCTTGCTATTATACTTATTTAAAGACTCATTAACTAAATTATAGTGTTTAAAATGCTTTACAATCGTCTTGAAAATGTTTGTTCTCACTTGAGAATAACGTCAAAATCCACGAAAATTTTTAAAGTCGTGGACTAACCATTATAATTTTTTAAAAATTTCAAAACAAGTATTATTTGCTAGTATACTTATTTAAAGACCCATTGACCAAATTATAATATTGAAATTGCTTAACAATCGTTTTGAAAATGTTTCATCATCTTGAGAAAAAAATCCACTAATTTTTTCGAGGTCGTTGGCTAACACCCTCTGAATTTTCGAAAATTCAAAACATGTATTATTTGCTAATATACTTATTTAAAGACCAATAAATCAAATTATAGTGTTGAAACTGCTTAACTATCATTTTAAAAATGTTTCGTCGTCTTTTAAAGATAATATCAAAATCTACCAAATTTTTTCGAAGTTGTGGGCTAACTCCTATGAATTTTTGAAAATTTTAAAAAATTTATTCCTTGCTAGTATGCCTATTTAAAGACTCATTAACCAAAATATAGTTTTGAAAATGCTTAATAATCGTTTTGAAATTGTTTCGTACTCTCTTGAGAATAACGTCAAAATCCACCATATTTTTTAAAGTCAGGACTTACCACTATGAATTTTTAAAAATTTCAAAACATGTATTCTTTGCTAGTATACTTATTTAAAGACTCATTAACCAAATTATAGTATTTAAACTGCTTAACAATTGTTTTGAAAATATTTCGTCATCTCGAGAGAAAAACGTCAAAATCCACTAACTTTTTCGAGGTTGTTGGTTAACACCCTTTGAATTTTTGAAAATTCAAAACATGTATTTTTTATAGTATACTTATTTAAAGACCCATTAACCAAATTATAATGTTGAAACTACTTAACTATCATTTTGAAAATATTTCATCGTCTTCTAAGGATAATGTCAAAATCCATTAAAAAATTTCATGTCGTGGGCTAACCCCTATACATATTTGAAATTTTTTTAAAAAAATTATTCCTTGCTAATATACCTATTAAAAGACCCATTAAAAAATTATAGTGTTGAAAATGCTTAACAATCATTTTGAAAATGTTTCGTCCTCTCCGAAGTATAATGTTAAAATCCACCAAATTTCATAAAATCGTGGACTAAACTCTATGAATTTTTTAAAATTTCAAAACATGTATTATTTGCTAGTATTCTTATTTATGAACTCATTAACCAAATTATAGTATTTAAACTGCTTAACGGTAGGTTTGAATATGTTTCGTCGTCTCCAGAGGAAAACATCAAAATCCACCAATGTTTTTGAGGTCGTGGGCTACCTAACACCCTTTGAATTTTCTAAAATTCAAAACATGTATTTTCTGTTAGTATAATTATTTAAAGATCCACTAACCAAATTATATTGTCAAAACTGTTTAACTATCATTTTGAAAAGGTTTCGTGTTCTTTTTAAGAATATCTCAAAGTTCACCAAATTTTTCGAATTCGTGGGCAACCCCTATGAATTATTGAAAATGTTAACAAATTTAGTCCTTTCTAGTATATCTATTTAAATACCCATTAACTAAATTATAGTGTTGTAAATACTTAACAATCGTTTTGAAAATGCTTAACAATCGTTTTGAAAATGTTTCGTCCTCTCCTGCGAATAATGTTGAAATCCACTAATTTTTTTAAGGTCGTCGACTAACACTATGAATTTTGAAAATTCTAAAATATGTATTCTTTGCTATTATACCTATTTAAAGACCAACTAACCAAATTATAGTGTTAAAACTGCTTAGCAATCATTTTGAAAATATTTCGTCGTCTCGTAAGGATAATGTCAAAATACACCAAAGTTTTAAAGTATACCTATTTAAAGACCAATTAACCAAATTATAGTGTTAAAACTGCTTAGCAATCATTTTGAAAAAAATTCGTCGTCTCGTAAGGATAACGTCAAAATACACCAAAGTTTTAAAGGTCATGGGATAACCCTTATAAATTTTTAAAAATTCAAAACATGTATCCCTTACTGGTATACTTATTTAAATACCAATTAACCAAATTATAGTGTTAAAACTGTTTAACAATCATTTTGAAAATCGTCGTCGTCTTCTGAGGAGAATGTCAATTTTCACTGAATTTTTGAGGTCGTGGTCTAACCCCTATGAATTTTGGAAAATTTCAAAACATTTAGTACTTGCTAGTATACCTTTTCAAAAACCAATTAACCAAATTATAGTGTTAAAAGTTCTTAATAATCGTTTTGAAAATGTTTTGTAAATTTCAAAATATGTATTAATTTCTAGTATATTTATTTAAAGACCCATTAACAAAATTATATTGTTGTAACTACTTAACAGTCGTTCTGAAAAAATTTTCATCATCTCGAGAGAAAAACGTCAAAATCCACTAATTTTTTCGAGGTCGGTGGCTAACAGCCTCTGAATTTTCAAAAAATTAAAACATGTATTTTTGCTAGTATACCTATTTAAGGACTCATTAACCAAATTATAGTGTTGAAACTGCTTAACTATCATTCTGAAAAATTTTCATCGTCTTCTAAGGATAATGTCAAAATCCACCAAATTTTTCCAAGTTGTGAGTTAACCCCTATGAATTTTTGAAAATTTCAAACCATTTTTTCCTTGATAGTATACCTATTTAAAGATTCATTAACCAAATTTTAGTGTTGAAAATGCTTAACAATCGTTTTTGAAAATGTTTTATCCTCTCTTGAAAATAACGTCAAAATCCACCAAATTTCTTAAAGTCGTGGACTAAACACTATGAATTTTAAAAAAATTAAAAACATGTATTTTTTGCTAGTATACTTATTTAAAGACACATTAACGAAGTTATAGTGTTGAAACTGCTTAACAATCGTTTTAAATATGTTTTGTCGTTTCTAGAGGAAAACGTCAAAATCCATCAATGTTTTTGAGGTCGTGGGCTAACTAACACACTTTGAGTTTTCCAAAATTCAAACATGTATTTTTGCTAGTATATTTATTTATAGACCCATTAACCAAATTATATTATCGAAGCTGTTTAACTATTGTTTTGAAAATGTTGCGTCGTCTTCTAAGGATAATGTCAAAATATACCAAATTTTTTGAATTTGTGGGCTAACCCTTATGAATTTTTAAAAATTTCAAAACATTTATTCCTTGCTATTATACCTATTTAAAGACCATTAACCAAATTATTGTGTTGAAAATGCTTAACAATCATTTTGAAAATATCTCATCATCTCCTAAGAATAACGTCAAAATCCACCAAAATTTTTAAAGTCGTGGACTAACCACTATGACTTTTTTGAAATGTTCAAAACATATATTCTTTGCTAGTATATTTGTTTCATGATCCATTAACCAAATTATAGTGTTGAAACTGCTTAATAATCGTTTTTAACTGCTTAATAATCGTTCTGAAAATGTTTCATCATCTCAAGAGAAAAACGTCAAAATACACTAATTTTTTCGAGGTTGTTGGCTAACACCTTTTGAATTTTTTAAAATTCAAAACATGTAATCTTTTTCTAGTATACTTATTTAAAGATCCATTAATAAAATTAAAGTGTTGAAACTGCTTAATTATCATTTTGAAAATGTTTCGTCGTTTTCTAAGAATAATGTCAAAATCTACCAAATTTTCCGAAGTAGTAGGCTGATCCCTATGAATTTTAGAAAATTTCAAAAAAAATTATTCTTTGCTAATATACCTATTTAAAGATCCATTAACCAAATTATAGTGGTTAAAATCTTTAACAATTGTTTCGCCCTCTCCTGAGAATAACGTCAAAATCCAACAACTTTTTTAAAGTTGTGGACTAACCACTATGATTTTTTGAAAATTTCAAAACTTGTATTCTTTATTAATATACTTATATAAAGACTCATTAACCAATTATAGTGTTGAAACTGCTTAACAATTATTTTGAAATTTTTTCATTGTCTCCTGATGATAATGTCAAAAACTACCAAATTTTCCGAGCTCATGGGCTCAATTTCTTGAGTTTGAGACAGACCATTTCTTGACGTGCACACTTGCTTTTTGTGCCTAAAAAGGACGAAACGATTGCATTAGCATGCATGGAAATTAACCATAGACGTGAACCAAAAGCAATAGTAAGAACTGAGTTACCTCTTTTTCCCAGTCACATCTCATGACAATATAGATCAGGATCAATGTTTGAATCCCGGTTCCTCCAAGTATCATACCAGCCCATATGCCCTATCAATAAATATAGTAACAATACAGTAAGATATAGAGAGCCTTATAATAATTTGCTAATTTGGTATAAAAAGGAAAAGAAAATGTGGGTTACCTTGACACCAGACTTGAACAACCATCCCATGATAAATCCGAGTGGAAGTCCAATGAAGTAATAGCATCCCAAGTTTATATATGCAACGAATGATTGCCAACCCGAACCAACAGCAACACCTGACCAAAAAGTCAATTGGTCATCTCACAACTGTTGACCCGGTTTAGGGTGAGATATCAAAAGAAATTTGACTGTTTTTGTGTTATACCAGAAAGAACCGGTTGTATACTGTTGAGAAGAATCGTTAAGCCTAGAAGAATAGAGAGATCATTAACTGCTTCAATGATAGTTTCACTTGAAGAGAAAATCCAGCCGATTTGATCATGAAGAAATACTACAAACACCGATAGTATTATTCCAATGATTAATGATTCTGTCACTGATATTATCATTGCAAATCTTGCTCCTCTTCCATTGCCTGCTCCTAACTCATTTGCCACTCGTACGCTACAAAAGCAAGTTATAATCTTATAAAGGAGTAGTTTTAAGCCATGAACTAGTCCATCTAGAGACATTAACATAAATACGGTAATAGTAAACATGAGAGATTGATTACCCAGTCCCGGCAAAGAAAGCAAGTGGTATCATCATCTCCAAACCATTTATTGACATGCTGCCGATGGAAATTGAAATTAATATAATTTGATGAGAAATTCACATCTTCAAAATTATGTATTGGCGACGTACCATATAGACAAAGAATCGACAGCAATTTTTGTATCCTTCAGATTTCCAGTCATCATTATTAGAATCCTATAATACCAATACTCCAAGCTGTCTCTCCACAAAAATCTACCGTAAGAAAGTTGTATTCGATATGAACCAAACTAAAAGAAAGTGACATAAGTGGCGTTTAACGATTTATTACCAAAGCATGATTCCAGAGGACGCTGAGAGCTTAGTGAATTCCCATAGTTTAAAGAAAGCTTCGACGGAGAAACCAGTCCAAGTGAGTGGACAACGGCCGCAAGTGGCGTAAATAAATAGGATGGAGACATTGAGCCACCATGACACGTTAACAGTAGCCATGGTCCCTACGACTCCAAGTTTAAGACCGTACACAAAAAGCCAGCACACAAATATGTGAACTAGAAGTGCCACCCCGGAAGAAATTGCAACCACCTGGTGTAGTAAGAGAATATTAACAATAAACATGTACCCTTCAGGGACATCCCATAAAATCGAAAGGATATATAGAAGATTAGTATGGTTCATGCGTAAGGATGACACACACAAATCAAAAATAGTACAAATTAACATTTGACGATTTTTAAGTTAAAAAAAACAAGTGTTAAATTCGTGTTTATTATGGAATTTTAATTTAAAATTAATGCATGACAAGTGAATTTATTTTGTTTTTCGTATATTACTTAATTATTTCTCCTGATGTGGTATTTTATTAATAATCTGCCCGTTCTGGTTACGACCTTTCAAATCTTAATTTAGTGACATACCCTATTCTTAAGCTGGCACTGGAAGAATCGGCTGAGAGGGAAATAGAAGGCAAACGCGAAATGAGTAGGAATAGTCCAGACGGCGATGGTGCCGGATAGCTCGGCAATGTCTTCAGGCTGTCCGAAGAATTTAAGAATCGGAGACGCAAACAAGTACATGGGAAGGAGCAATGTGCAGAATAAGAAGAGAACGATCCAAGATCGCTGCATATACACTCCTAACATGTCATACTTCTTTGCTCCAAACGCTTGCCCGCACAGCGTTTCCAACGCACTCGCCATTCCTAGCTGCGGGGTATTTAGTATTCAGTAAACATAATTAATATCTTTGAAATTGATAATTTACCATTATTATCTATATTAAAAATGTAAAAAATAGATCTTTTAAAAACAATTTTATTTCTAAAATATAGATCGTTCTGAAATGGATGGACTATATTATATACTATATATATATATATATACTTTCTTAAAAAATTAGACATTATAGAAAAAGTTTATAATATAGCATACAAGGAGGCCGATGTTGAAGCCAACGATGACGTTGTGGACGATGGAGATGGAGGCGAGTTCAAGCTCCCCAAGGTGGCCGGCGAAGGCCTGAGTGATGACGAAGATCGAAAAGGTCGAGAATCTGGCGAATATTGCCGGTCCAACGATACGCCATAGCTTCTTCGTTTCGATCCATGTCTCTCTCTTTATGTCTCCTTCTTCGTATTGATCCCTCAACAAAGGAATCCTCGCCTTCTCTACACCTTCCGCTTCGTATTCTCTTTCTCCCATCTTCTTGATAAGTAAAGAACGTGGACGAGAGTGAAGAGTATATGTGAGAGCAAAGCATTTTGAGTGGGGACTCCACTACGGTCAGGCTTTTTAGGTATTGTTTTTAGTCTACTTTTATGACGTCTCAGTTTAACCACTAATAGTATGCATGTGTGTTTTCAATCAAGACGATACAAGTAACAATAAATTTAATTATGGGACCCTTTAAGTATACCATGCGTGGAACAAATTCATGGAGCATTTTAATAATACAGTGTATATAGTTGATATCACATGAAAAGTTTACCGTGGATAGTTTCATGTATGAAAGATTTGAAGATGATTTCGATATGGATTGAGACAGCTCGGATCTAGTAGACATGTCTACTAGACCGCATGACTAACCGGTTTTCACGACAGAAATCGAGGTATTTCAACGACTACAGAAGGAACTTGAGAATGTGAATCTGTCTCATATTCTGCGGAGTAGAAATAGACGAGCGGATGCACTATCTAAAGAAGCAAATAGTAAAGACTATTTACTTTCCTATATAGATTAGATTCGGTCAGACGAAATTATTCTCAAAAAATTGACTAGACTAGTCACCACTTGGTATAGAGTAAATGGACGACTGATAAAAAAAAAAAAGTTGATATCACATGCGTTGCGTCTTTTTGTTATATATTTGTTTCATATTGATTATCTTTTTCTGAGAACAAACCTTAAAACCTTAAAAATATTATGAGTTACTGTTATAGAGCTATACAATTTTATTCAGTCAATCGTTTCAGTCACTTTTAATATTAAGAACAGTATAATATTCATATTTATTTGTACACTTAATTTTCCTTTGATAAAATGTTGATTTTTAGGCTTAATTTCTGTTTATAATTAATTTCAACAACTGTTAATAATATTGCACTTACGGTATGAATTGACCATTCCGAATAAATTTGAAATAGTGCCTTACACAACTACTTTGCTTTTCATTTAGTATAGTCCACATCTGATTTTTATTCTGTTTGTTACATATCGTATTTTCTTTAGATTCGGTTCTACACTAATCAAACATATTCTATGATCGGTTAACGTTCTCTAATCAGCTGTTATTGGTTTGAATGAACCCACAAAGTAATGAACATACCATTATTAAAGCAACTTTAATTTACTTGTCTTTTTAATAATCCATGTTGTGTTTGATCAACAACTTAATTTCCCACGTTTATATATATATATGCCACTAACATCAACTGTCAACATATCTGGATGTCACGGACTCAACAACTTAGTTTTCAACCTTTAAATAATTCTATATACCCTGCATAAAAATTCCTCCTTCCATATAAAGCTGTTTCACTTCATTTTATTGAAAATCTAATACTTTTATCCTCCTTTAAAAAGTTATTGTATAGATCTACAGCTTTCTCAAAGTGGTATTACAAAGCATCACATTATGCTTCATGTCCGTTCAAACCTTGACTATGATATGTTTAGCTTTATATTTCATCAAAACCTAATGCCTGTAATAGGTAAATACATTGGTGTAAAGTAACTAAACTTTTTTCTATATGAGAAATATATGATTTTTCTATCCTGTCATTAACCATGCATGTGTGATAAAGTGATATACCGCATGTGCTTTATTTACTCGCTCACTAGTCACTACTACGGCCAAGCTTAAGGAATATATATGCTTCAAATATATATTTATTGTACAATTGATACACATTATACAATTATACAATCTTCAGTGTCTTGCCTCTGAATTTGAGATCGACCACTTGTTAACGCGCACGCTTGCTTTCCGTGCCTACAAATACGAAGCAAACGACGAAACAATTGCATGAAAAGATGTGCTATGAAATGAAAACCATATATACGTGAATCAAAGCATTAAAACTTGAATTACCTCTTTCTCCCAGTCACATCTCATAACAATAAATATCAATATCAATGTCTGAACCGCGGTTCCTCCGAATATCATACCAGCCCAAATGCCCTATAAGAGAGAAAAATTAACCTCCAAATATCGAGATTACAAAAAGAAAAATTGGCGTTTACCTTAACACCAGACTTAAAAATCCATCCCATGACAAATCCAAGTGGAAGACCGATGAAATAATAGCATCCCAAATTTATATACGCCACGAATGATTGCCAACCCGAACCAATCGCAACCCCTAATAAAAAATCAAAAGTCACTTCAGTTTATCATGGAATAACAAACAAATCAATTTGTTTTGTGGCGTACCGGAAAGAACCGGTTGGACACTGTTGAGAAGAATCGTAAAGGCTAAAAGGATAGAGAGATCAGTGACTGCTTTTATAACGGTTTCACTTGAAGAGAAGATCCAACCGATTTGATCATGCAAAAATACTACAAGAACCGAAAATATTAAACCAATGATTAGCGATTCTGTCACTGATATGATCATTGCAAATCTTGCTCCTCTTCCATTGCCTGCTCCTAATTCATTCGCCACTCGTACGCTACAAAAGAAAAAAGTTATCATAGAAAGTAGTTATATTTTATCCATGGCTAATTATTATTGTAGCTAACCTAAAAAGGTTTTTAAATAATAATAAAAGTACAAGCCGAACAAAATAAATCAACGAGAGATATTGGACTTAGAACATGATTAACCTAGTTAGTGGAAGTTAAAAAATTGTTTCTTAACTTTTAACTAAAAAATCTAAGAACCAATTCTTAAATAAGGGATTAATCATGGTCTTATACCCAGTCCCGGCGAGGAAAGCAAGTGGAATCATCATCTCCAGTCCATTTATCGCCATACTGCCGATGAACAACATTGTTATGATGTAAAACAGTTAGAAAAAATATGATACGAAAGCTTTTCATATTTACTAGATAGTGTATCAACCCCTAATATTTCTGACGTACCATATAGACAGAGAATCGACAGCAATTTTTGTTTCTTTCAGATTTCCAGTCATCAGAATCAAAATCTTATAATACCAACTCTCCAAGCTGCCTCATTTATAAAAAAAAAAAAACAAAAATCTACTGTAAGAAGTTGTGTTCCAAATATAAAATCAAACAAAAAAGGATACGAGTGGCCTTAAATAATTGTACCAAAGCATGACTCCGGAGGAGGCAGAGAGCTTAGCAAATTCCCAAAGTCCGGTGAAAGCTTCGATGGAGAAACCAGTCCAAGTGAGTGGACAACCGCCACAAGTGGCGTAACTAAATAAGATCAAGACAATGAGCCACCATGACACATTAACAGTAGCCACGGTCCCTATGACTCCAAGTTTAAGACCATATACAAAAAGCCAGGACACAAATATGTGAACTACAAGTGCCACTCCAGCCGCAATCGCAATCACCTGGTGTTAATGTTAGTCAACACCATTTGAGATGTTATACTTATATATACCAAACAACTATATAGACTAAAAATGTTACATATATATATATATATATATATATGTACCATATTCTTAAGCTGGCATTGGAGGAACCGGTTGAGAGGGAAGAAGAAGGCAAATGCGAAATGGATAGGAATAACCCAAAGGGCTACAGTACCGGAGAGCTGGGCTATGTCATCAGGCTGGCCAAAATACTTCAAAATCGGAGTAGCAAAGAAGTACATAGGGAGTAACAAGATGGACCACAAGAAAAGAACAATCCAAGACCGCTGCAAATACACTCCCAACATGTCATATTTTTTTGCTCCAAACGCTTGACCGCACAGCGTTTCCAACGCACTCGCCATTCCAAGCTGCATTTAAAAACATATAATATATATAGTTTCTTCATTTATAAGATGAACTCTATAATATAAGCCAAAAATGTTTCTTATTATGTGTGTGTTTACGAGGAGGCCGAAGTTGAAGCCGACGATGACGTTGCTGACGATGGAGATGGCTGCGAGTTCGAGCTCGCCGAGGTGACCGGCAAAGGCCTGAGTGATGACGAGGATCAAATAGGTCGAGATTCTTGTGAATATGGCTGGTCCAACAATACGCCATAGCTTTTTAGTCTCAACTAATATGTCTCTGTCTTCCTCCGGTTCATGTTGATCCCTTAGCAGAGGAATCATCGCCTTATCTACACCTTCTGCTTCGTTGTCTCTCTCTACCATCGCCGATGTTCTGGAAATTCTAAGTAAAATAATTAAAAGAGTTGATGAGAGTAGATACGTGATCACTTAGGTGGCCATGTAATATATATATGAGGCCTTTTCAAAATAAATAAATAAATATTTGAGGCCTCCATTTGATATTATAAATACATATGCAACAGTAAAGAGGAGTAAAGATGAAATTGTTTTGAAAAGGTTTTATTCTTTTACTAGATTTTGACCCGCGCTTGAAAGCGCAGAAACTTTTTATGATTTAAAATTTATATAATTGGATTTTGTCTTAATTTAAAAAATATTTGGATATAAAATCAATTCACCAAAATTTATGGTGATGATTGTTTTTCATTAGTTTTTAGTTTCACCTTTTATTTTTAGATTTTGGTTTTTTGTTTTTAGTTTTTAAGTTTCTACTTTTCATTTTCAGTTTTTGGTTTGGTTTTTAATTTTTAAACCATCTGAGTTAGTTTGAACTGATACTACCAACAAATAAATATCAAATAATAAAACATCTAATTTAAAACTGAAAATATGAAAACAAATGTTTTAAAAAAAATTTGAAATATTTTATTTTGTAAATAAACAAAGCAAAAAAAAAAATGTGTTTTCAGTTTTTGGTTTGGGATTTTAGTTTTTAGATTTGGTTTTTGGTTTTGCTTTACATTTTTTAATCAGTAAATTATTTAAGAAAAATAAAACAATAAATTATTTAAAAGTTACAATTGAAATTTATCAAAACAAAGTGATTGTTATTTAAAATAGTAAAATATATTAACATGTTTAAAGTATATAATTTAAGTAAATGATTAATAATAGATAATTCTATTTTGTTAAAAATATTAAATACCTTTTGGGTCTGAAAATAATAATTGATTTTTTGATCTTTTAAGGTGGAAATTTTATTCAATGCTTTTTGGAGTTTTTTTTAATATGAAGCCCAAAAACCAAACTGTATAATTTGTTCAAAAAATAAAAGTAAGCCCAAGACTATATTCCATAAATAATCACTAGTTTAATTAAGTATAATTAGTAGATTTCCATATTCTATATTTTGATGATTTACATATGTGTAGGAGAAAATATGTGTTTTCGGTATACATATAGATATCTGCCTTATTTTGAAGGTAGTTTACATTAAGGTCGTCTTTTACATTAATTGTGTTGGTTTAATTTAACTAATACGGTTCAATCAATTATATGACTTATATTATTTGTAACATTCCAGAAAGGATCCAAATTTAAATGACAACTTGTATCAGTAGATAAAAAGAATGACTCTGTTTTAATAGAGTAGATATAGAGACCTGCGCCTTGCGCATGGTGAATATATGTAATTAAAATATAAAATTTTAATATTCACAAATTTAAAATTTACATATGATTGTTTTTGTATGTATTTGAAATTTTAGAATTTTGGAATTTTTATATAATTATCTATACGTATGACCAAAAACAACTTTAATTAGAAATGTAAATCAAATCTTAGAATTTAATGGATCTGATTTCATATATCTTTTTACTTTTCAGTGTTCGAGTGATGGAAAATAAATGGAGTGTCACTGGGCTTGATTGGTAGAGTATAGCAAGTTCCCTAATGTTTTTAAAGAAGCAGTTGGTAAAATATTTGCAATTAAAATATATAAAGTTTCTAAACTAATTTAATATAATTTATTTATTTGTCTAATAATATTAGAAAATTATATTTTTAAAAAATTATATTTTTAAAAAATTATATTTTTTAAAAATAATTTTCTAAAAAATTATGTTAAATTTAAAATTATTTTTAAAAGCAAGATTTTAAGTTTTTTGAATACAAATAAACAATTTAAAATTAATTATTGTCATGATTTAACATAGCCATAATGATTTAAAAAATTAAAAAAAAATAAAAGTTAACAAATTAAAAATTAACTCAGTTTTATATCATGATTTAACAATTTAAAAATTAATTATGGTTATGAGAAGTTTACGTTCACGTGTCAATCCTATTTATCTTCCATTTTTCTCTTGCTATGTTTTTTTTATATTTTGGTTATTACTCGGTATAAATATTTATTTTGAATTTTATTCTCATTTCGTTTGTTTGTTTTGACCTGAAATTTAGAAAATATTTAAGTTTTAAAATAATTAAACAGATAAATACTTAGGTTAAG